AAAAAAAAAAAAATAGCCTTCTGGAGTATCAATAGCTGAATATATGCTCATGAAATATAAGCAAAGGAAGTTATCTAGCAAACATTTTGTTAGAGAAGCATGAATGGGGAGGAAAAAAATCAAGGACCACACAGGGCGCCTGACTGAAAAACATTTAGGACACACCACCTAAAAAGCCTGGGCATTTTGGATCTCTTTCAAGTCCTATTGAATTGAAAAAAAAAATAATGACATTGGTTTTGTTCCCAGATTGTTAACATTTTAAAAAGAGATAGTTAAATGACCAGTTTTTAGAAGCAAATGGACAATCTGAAAATTTATAGGAAGATTTTAGGTTTAGGGTTCATGGTGAAAATTAGTATTAAAGAAAGGTAAAAATCAAGTAGAGATTACGGCTAAGACTGAAGGAAAAGTATCAAATTCAGGAAAACAGAGGCCTCTTAAAGAAACTAAATTCACAGGAGGGTAAAACAGAGATAGGAGTTGAGAATAGACCTTGTCACAACTTTCTGGAAATAATGAGGTCATCACATGATCAGACATGGATCTTGGGCGCAACGAGAAGAAAGTGTTTAATGAAGTAACTTTTCTCATTGAGTTAGAAGGGTGTATTCTTGTTGAAAGCGAAGTAAGGGAGCACAAAAGGGCCGACATTAAGAGAGGCACAAAGACAGCAAGATGGCCTCTTGCTTTCACTCTCAGGTGTAGGATACTGACCCAGTTCAAAGCTCCTGGCTGGCGGAATATCACTTCCCATCCAAAGCCCCTAACTACTTGTCCAACTGCCTTTCTTTCTGCTTCAGTGGAGGTCTCCTCCCAGCTTCCAAGCCACCTGCCATTGTCTTACATAGGTGGGACACCAGCAGCAGGGGCTTGCCACCCATTTCTGTTTGGGACAGATTATCTCTGTCATCAGGTCTAGAATGACTGAACACACTTCACCCTTTCTTCTGCCCTTTTCTCATGAAAAGGGGAGCTATTTCTCCTAGCATCTTTGGTTATGGACCAGGCCAGGCATTCCAAGTCAACTTCCACACTTTCAGTTTGTTGTGAAACCAGATAGAACCCTCTGGATCCAGTCCACAAAGTCCTATGGGCCACAGCCAACATGTCTGAGCTCCACCTTCTCCTTCACGATCATCTGTTTCCACTGCAGAGATCACTGAGTACTCTGATCTGCTCTACAGAAAGTAACCTTTCCCCATATTCTCAAGTACTCTGTATCCACTCCTCTCACACCTCCTGCCCCAGCTGAGTGGTGGTAGGGCTGGGTCCTCTGTGGCTGTGCTCAGAGCACCCCTCCTGGAGGATGCTATCTCCTTTGCAGGGTCACTGCCTCCCTTTGGGCCCAGTGTCTTTTCTCCACAGAAACATTAGATATATTAACATAATCAAACTCCAATGACTCATCTTTACTGGGAAAAGAAGGTGGGGACAGGAGACCTGGATGGTGTCCACTTCGGGTTTGGATGCAGAGTTTAGGCCTTTGTGTGTGATCTCAGTGTTCAAAATGGAAAAGCCACGACACTCATAGGGACCAGATGTTCACTTAGTACCAATTGCTACAGCGCGAGAAGACAAATCAACGAAAATGCCCAGCTTTACCAAAAGAATGAACGCCAGTGGGCCCACCCTAACCAAGGGAAGGAGAATTCTAAAGGCGGTTGGGAAAAATCTCCCTCTATGAGTCCTAAATTCTAGAAATTTAGTTCAGAAAAATCTGCCCTCCTCTGTATGACTCACATAGTCTAACGTCAGAGGAACCTAGAAACCCTTCAGCTTGCTTTCTCATGTATAGAAAGAAATTTAGAGCCAAGAGAAGTTTGGTGACTTGTTCCCACATCACACAGCAATTTAGTGAGGACTGGCTCCTCAGGCCTGAGTTGGGTGGAGTATGTTCTGTACCAAGTGTCATCTGTCATACCCTACACGTACTAACTCTTGCCGGCTTTGTAAACGCGAGCAGTGTTATCAGAGATTAGCTGTTGCAATCAAGGCCTTGCATTAACATCTGAAAGACTTGCCTTCACATCGAGGACGTGCAGCTCCACCCTCACTGAGCTCTCCTCCTCAGGAAACATTTCGATTCTGTTGACATGGCTGAAGTCAGCTAAAAGGGCCACCAGATTGGTTTTGGTGTTTATGACATGGCTGATCCCATACCGGGGTCCAACCAGGAGAGTCACTTCCGAGCGCTTTTCTGCCTGCTGAGAAACAGATAGTGACAAAATTTAAAAAACAAAACAAAACTGTACCTCTGAAGCACCATGCAAAGTCCAGCCTAAGAGCCTGTTTTCAGAAGACCACATTTTCTTTTTTCTTTTCTTTCTTTCTTTCTTTCTTTTTTTTTTTTTTTTTTTGAGACAGAGCCTCAAGCTGTCCC